TGTGCCCGTTCGGGGAGATCAACTTCCTGCCCCGCGGGTGCATTCTCAGGAACACGCCCTGGGTGCTCGGCATCGCCGCCTACGTGGGGGACGACTCCAAGGCCCGGCTGAACGCGATGCGGGGGCGCGTGGTCAAGTTCTCCAACATGCAGGTGAACCTGAACAACGTCATCGTCGGGCTGCTCGTCTTCCTCTTCGCCTGGTGCCTGGCGGCCACGCTCGTGTCCGTTGTAGGTGAGGGGACACTCTCCGAGAAGACCGGAGACCACCCCGTCATCATGTTCTTCAAGTTTGCCATCATCTTCTACCACATAGTGCCACTCAGCCTGTACGTGGTGTACGAGATGCTGAAGCTGCTCCTCGGCTTCCTCCTGGCGTCCGACCAGCAGATGGTCGACCCCGCCACGGGCGAGGGCGCGCTCCCGCGGACCGCCGACCTCATGGAGGAGATGGGGCAGATCAGCTTCATTTTCTCCGACAAGACTGGCACCTTGACCCGCAACGAGATGGTCTTTGCGCAGTGTGACATCAACGGCGTCGACATGGGCGAGTTCCGAGGTGACAGCGCCTGTGGCCTCGAGAAGGTGAAGGAGGTGTTCGCCAAGGGCCTGGCCGAGAAGGACGGGCCCAAGGACCAGATGTTTCACAGCACAGTGGACTTTTTCACCTGTCTGGCGGTCTGCCACAGCGTTGTCAAGCAGCGGCGCACCGCCGACACGAAGGTGGATGCCACAGGGCCGGCGGAGCCCCCCGTGAAGCAGCTCAAGTCGGCGCTGTCCTTTGCCGCGATCAAGTCGGGCCCGTCCTCGGCGGCGCCACCGCCGGAGGCGCCTCACGAGGCGGTGGCCAGGGACGGCACCGGCGTCACGTCGGTCTATTCCGGGGCCTCGCCGGACGAGGTGGCGCTCGTGAACGCAGCTTGCGAGGCGGGCATCGCGTTTGCAGGGCGCAAGCGCAAGTACGCGGGCTCCTCGTCCGAGCTGCTGGTGAAGGGGCCAGGGAACAAGCAGCGCGTGTTCCTGCAGCTCTTCGAGCTGCCCTTCAGCTCGGACCGCAAGCGCATGTCCGTGCTGGTGAAGCACCGCGGCGAGATCTGGTGCATCACGAAGGGCGCAGACACGGTGATGGAGCCCCTGCTGCGGGAGCCGCTCAGTGCTGATAGCCAAGCGCATTTGCACGCGTTCGCGGTCAAGGGCCTGCGCACGCTCGTGATCGCGATGAAGAAGGTCAGCCACCAGGAGTGGGAGGAGTGGAGCGCGGAGTACGTCGCGGCCAGGGAGGTGATCAACACCGCCAAGGAGTCCGGCATGGCCGCCGTGGCGGCCAAGATGGAGCAGGGCCTGAAGTTCGTCGGCATCACCGCTGTAGATGACCGGCTGCAGGACCAGGTGCCCGAGACCATCCAGTTGTTGAAGGAAATGGGGATCCGCCTGTGGGTCCTCACTGGCGACAAGACTGAGACGGCGGTGGACATCGCCAGGTCTTGCAGCCTGTTCACCAGTTCCACGACGCTGGCCTACGCTGTGCAGGCCAAGGACGCGAAGGATGCCGAGGACAGGCTGCTGAAGGCGTACTCGGAGCTCGAGAACAAGGAGGACGACTCCGGCCTCGTGCTCGACGGCCAGACCCTCATACACGCGCTGCAGAGCCTGGAGTGCCGAAAGGTCATCTACGACCTGGGCATGGTCAGCCGCTCGTGCATCTGCACCCGCCTGAGCCCCCAGCAGAAGCTGCAGCTCGTGCAGCTGGTGCGCGAGCAGGACCCCAGGACCATCACCCTCTCCGTCGGCGACGGCGCGAACGACGTGCCGATGATCTACGGCGCGCACCTCGGCATCGCCATCCGCGGGAAGGAGGGCACGCAGGCGGTGCAGGCGTCCGACATCGCCATCTCGCAGTTCCGCTACCTGGTGCCCCTGCTGCAGTGCCACGGTCGCCGCGCGTACCGGCGCGTGGCGCTGTTCTTGTGCTTCTTCCTGTACAAGAACATCACGCTCATCATGCTGGACATCGTGTGGCTCTTCCAGTACAGGTTCCGGGCCCTCGTCGCGGTGCCAGAGTGGCTGTCCATCAATTTCAACCCGATCTTCACCTCGCTGCACATGTTGCTGATGCTCGGCTTCGACAAGGACATCCCCGACGACGAGGCCAACAGCAACCCGGGCTTGTACAAGGTCGGGCCCGCCCGCAAGCTCTTCAACGGGAAAGTGTTCCTCAAGTGGCTTGTCAACGCCCTCTACCACGGCGCCATCTGCTGGACCATCCCTTTTGCCCTGCTCGACCCCAAGATCGACGACCCCGACGACCCCATCGTGAAGACTGAGCCGTCGGATTTCTGGGTCTCCTCCGTTACCGCGTTCTCCTGCGTCGTCTTTGTGGTTTGTTTGAAGTTGGTCATCGTCTCCCAGAACCCGCTGGGGTTTCATACGTGGTGCCCCACGCTCGTCACGTTCGGCGTGTTCTGCATCGTCATCTTCTGCTTTAGCTACGTGTGGTTCGGGCCCACGCTGCAGCCCAACATGAAGGGGATGTTCGGGCTGATGGTCGAGAACAGCATGGTGCCCGCGTCGATCGGCACCGCCATCGTGGTCGCGCTGGCTCCCGACCTGGTTTTGATTCTCCTCAAGAAGCTCCTGAACCCCTCCGAGCTGGACAAGGCCAAGCGGAAGTCGCAGACTGGCGGCTAGTCCGATGAGCGGCCAGTTTGCTTTCTGACGGATCGCGGCGGGCACGGAAGGAGCGGGGACGAACGAGGGCCGACAGCACCAGCATCTGCCTTAAAGCCTGCGTCGACGCGGGCCTGCGTTTCTCCGACCTCTGTTCGGGCGAGGAGAACTATGCACATGCACCGATCCTGGCGAGGCCCATCCCTGGCCCAGCATCGGTGCACACGCCTCCCTGGCCAGGGGCGGGGGGGCGTGTGCACCGCTCCGGGGCTCAGGATGGGCCTGGCCAGGATCGGTGTGCAGTCGGGGCCCTGAAGAAGGAACCCTTTTCGTTGGGGAGGGGCTCCGCGTTCCTTAAAGTGTTTCACAGCTTGCCTCAGGTTTTCCTTGTGTCTTCGATAGGAAACCGAAGTTTAACTCATGGAAAAAAGGGGCCTCGTTCCTTGTTTAGGGTTCCTTGGGTCAACGCCCCGACTGTATGTGCATAGTTCTTTTTCCTCTATTAACAAAAATAGTTCTCTTTCCCCCGCCTGTGCCGCGTGCCCGCCGCGGCATCCCCGGACGCGCCCTTTTCGCCGCGCCCCCGCGATAGGGGGCTCCTCCCGCGCGGCCCGCCCGAGGGGGGGGGCCTCTTCTCCGCGCCCCCGCCCTCGAGGGCCGCAGCCCCGTCGGAGGGGCGCCTCCTCCTCCTCCTCCTCCTCCTCCTCCTCCTCCTCCTCCTCCTCCTCCTTCCCTCCTCCTCCTCCTCCCCTCGCTCCTCCCCCCCCCCCCCCCCCCTCCTCCCCCCCCACCCCGCCTCACTTCCTCCTCCCTCATCCTCCTCCTCACCTCTCCTCCTCCTCCTTCCTCCTTCCTCCTCCTCTCACTCCTCCTCCTCCTCCTCCTCCTCCTCCTCCTCCTCCTCCTCCTCCTCCTCCCTCCTCCGTGTGTTGCTCTGCCTACTGCCTGTGTGCAGTGCCGCTCCTTCCCCCCCCGCGCTGGGGAGCAGAACGGGTGGGAGGCGAGCTATGCACAGGCACCGATCCTAACAACGCCCATCCTCGACCCAGGATCGGTGCACATGCCCTCCTGGCCAGGGTCAGAGGGCGCATGCGCCGATATCCTGGGCTCAGGACGGGCCCGGCCAGGATCGGCGTACGTGCACGGTTCTCTTTCCTCTGCAGAACGGGCGGCAGGCGAGGAGGAGCGGGGTCGATCTGCTTCTGCGTCCGCCGTCCTTGCCCGTGTGCGGCTCTGTGACCACTGCTCTGTGCGTGGGCAATCGGCTTGTGGGTGTGCACTCCAGACGGACATGTGTTTGAGCCTGTCATGATCCACGGTACGTTTCTTGACCCACCGTGCAGTGTTTTTGGTGCCGCCCTCGACGAAGCATCGAAGGAAGCGGCCAGGCTCCTTTCTTAGTCCTAGAGCACCAACGGCTGCAGTTCGGGCTGCTTCCGCCGCGCCAAATGAATAAATTACTGCTGCAGACATTGAGATGAAAACGCAGATACTTTGTTGTCTCACTACCCCGAGGCGGGAATCTATACATGACCACCGCCTGGAGGATCAATTTTCGGGGAGCTCGCAGGCGGTGGACATGGATATATTCGGACCCCCGGGGGCCAAAATATATCCATATCCACCGCCCGCAGGGGCACCAGGACGTCGTTTCCCAGGCGGTGGATATGGATAACCTCGCAACTACAGTCTGTAATCGGAATCCGCGCTGCTATCCGTAGAAATGCGGCGGTTTAGCCTTTCCGAAGTGTGTTGCCAGGCCCAGCGACCAGCGTGAAATGCGCACCCCGGCTGGGCATCACCGCCAAAGAGCGTTAGCAGCATTTTGCCAGATGCAGGGCGACTTTTTGTTCCAGCTCCTGGTGTGGAGATCAGGGTCGGGGAGGAAAAACAAGAGCCTTCAATACGCTCACACTAGTGCTCAATAGTGCCCCCATGAGCCCTCCGTGGGTCCCAATGAGACCTCAGCACGTCTCTCAAGACGGCTCAAGCACGCACGCAGCGTGTTATTCCCTACCTAGGCTCTGCCTAGAGGGTTCTTACTCGCTGGGCTTAAAGGGGCTGGGCAGTGGGCTTCGCCCCGGGCGGTTCCCCCGGTCCCCGCCCCGCGGTTCCCCCAGTTGCGCCCCCTTACCTTAGCTTTGCGTATCTCATCTTAGCTTAGCTTAGCTTGGTTTAGCTTAGCTTCATCTTAGCTTCGTTTAGCTGTAGCTTAGCTTAGCCCAGCTTAGCTTAGCTTAGCTTAGCTTAGCATATCATAGCATAGCCCAGCATACTAGCCGGCCGCTCTGCGGTTGATCGGGAGTTTCTGTATATAGAAGAAGGTGCGTGCGCTTGTTGGCGAGGGTGAGGATGAGGTTCCTCCTCCTCCTACTCCTCCTCCTCCTCCTCCTCCTCCTCCTCCTCCACCATCCTTCTCTTGCCTCCGTCTGTCCTCCTCCACCCCGCAGCTCCATCATCTTCTCCTCCTCCTCCTCCTCCTCCTCCTCCTCCTCCTCCTCCTCCTCCTCCTCCTCATTCCTCCTCTGGGCACCTCCCCCGGATCTGTCCGGAAACGGTGCCGGAGGCCGCTCTGGGCTCCTCTGGGCACCTCCCCCGGGGCCGGTTTTGTGAGGATGTCTCAAGCGAGGGCGCCGGTTTGGGATTCGTCACCGGATCCAGCGGATCCACCGGATCTGTCCAAAAACGGTGCCGGAGGCCGCTCTGGGCTCCTCTGGGCACCTCCCCCGGGGCCGGTTTTGTGAGGATGTCTCAAGCGAGGGCGCCGGTTTGGGATTCGTCACCGGATCCACCAGATCTGTCCGGAAACGGTGCCGGAGGCCGCTCTGGGCTCCTCTGGGCACCTCCCCCGGGGCCGGTTTTGTGAGGATGTCTCAAGCGAGGGCGCCGGTTTGGGATTCGTCACCGGATCCACCGGATCTGTCGGAAACGGTGCCGGAGGCCGCTCTGGGCTCCTCTGGGCACCTCCCCCGGGGCCGGTTTTGTGAGGATGTCTCAAGCGAGGGCGCCGGTTTGGGATTCGTCACCGGATCCACCGGATCTGTCCGGAAACGGTGCCGGAGGCCGCTCTGGGCCCCTCTGGGCACCTCCCCCGGGGCCGGTTTTGTGAGGAGGTCTCAAGCGAGGGCGCCGGTTTGGGATTCGTCACCGGATCCACCGGATCTGTCCGGAAACGGTGCCGGAGGCCGCTCTGGGCTCCTCTGGGCACATCCCCCGGGGCCGGTTTTGTAAGGATGTCTCAAGCGAGGGCGCCGGTTTGGGATTCGTCACCGGATCCACCGGATCTGTCCGGAAACGGTGCCGGAGGCCGCTATGGGCTCCTCTGGGCACCTCCCCCGGGGCCGGTTTTGTGAGGATGTCTCAAGCGAGGGCGCCGGTTTGGGATTCGTCGGCGGATCCACCGGATCTGTCCGGAAACGGTGCCGGAGGGCGCTCTGGGCTCCTCTGGGCACCTCCCCCGGGGCCGGTTTTGTACGGATGTCTCAAGCGAGGGCGCCGGTTTGGGATTCGTCACCAGATCCAGCGGATCTGTCCGGAAACGGTGCCGGAGGCCGCTCTGGGCTCCTCTGGGCACCTCCCCCCGGGCCGGTTTTGTGAGGATGTCTCAAGCGAGGGCGCCGGGGTGGGATTCGTCGGCGGATCCACCGGATCTGTCCGGAAACGGTGCCGGAGGCCGCTCTGGGCTCCTCTGGGCACCTCCCCCGGTGCCGGTTTTGTGAGGATGTCTCAAGCGAGGGCGCCGGTTTGGGATTCGTCACCGGATCCACCGGATCTGTCCGGAAACGGTGCCGGAGGCCGCTCTGGGATCCTCTGGGCACCTCCCCCGGGGCCGGTTTTGTGAGGATGTCTCAAGCGAGGGCGCCGGTTTGGGATTCGTCGGATCCACCGGATCCACCGGATCTGTCCGGAAACGGTGCCGGAGGCCGCTCTGGGCTCCTCTGGGCACCTCCCCCGGGGCGGTTTTGTGAGGATGTCTCAAGCGAGGGCGCCGGTTTGGGATTCGTCACCACCGGATCCACCGGATCTGTCCGGAAACGGTGCCGGAGGCCGCTCTGGGCTCCTCTGGGCACCTCCCCCGGGGCCGGTTTTGTGAGGATGTCTCAAGCGAGGGCGCCGGTTTGGGATTCGTCACCGGATCCAGCGGATCCACCGGATCTGTCCGGAAACGGTGCCGGAGGCCGCTCTGGGCTCCTCTGGGCACCTCCCCCGGGGCCGGTTTTGTGAGGATGTCTCAAGCGAGGGCGCCGGTTTGGGATTCGTCACCGGATCCACCGGATCTGTCCGGAAACGGTGCCGGAGGCCGCTCTGGGCTCCTCTGGGCACCTCCCCCGGGGCCGGTTTTGTGAGGATGTCTTAAGCGAGGGCGCCGGTTTGGGATTCGTCACCGGATCCACCGGATCTGTCCGGAAACGGTGCCGGAGGCCGCTCTGGGCTCCTCTGGGCACCTCCCCCGGGGCCGGTTTTGTGAGGATGTCTCAAGCGAGGGCGCCGGTTTGGGATTCGTCACCGGATCCACCGGATCTGTCCGGAAACGGTGCCGGAGGCCGCTCTGGGCTCCTCTGGGCACCTCCCCCGGGGCCGGTTTTGTGAGGATGTCTCAAGCGAGGGCGCCGGTTTGGGATTCGTCACCGGATCCACCGGATCTGTCCGGAAACGGTGCCGGAGGCCGCTCTGGGCTCGTGCTCTTCGCGCCGGGGGTGAGGATGACGTGAGTTCCACAGAAACTCCCTCAAATCATAGCATAACATGCCGCAGCATAGCATAGCATAGCATAGCATAGCATAGCATAGCATAGCGCAGCATAGCACAACATTGCATATCATAGCGCAGCATAGCATAGCATACCATAGCCTAGCATAACATAGCGCAGCCTAGCGTAGCATAGCATAGCGCAACATAGCGCAGCATAGCATAGCATAGCATAGCATAGCATAGCATAGCATAACATAGCATAGCATAGCATAGTGCAGCATATCATAGCATAGCATAGCATATCATAGCAGCAAAGCAAAGGCAAAGCAACAGCAGCAACAGCAAAGCAAAGCACAAGCAACGCAAAGCAAAGCAAAGCAACAACAAAAGCAAATCAAAGGAAAGGCAAAGCACAAGCAATGCGCAACAGTACGATCAGAGAGCCCACCCGGTGAGCGAATGCAAAGACATGCGTGTGTCTGTGCGAAGGCAACGCAAAAACAAAACCAAGCAAAAGCAAAAACAAGCAAAAGCAAAGGCAACTACGACGATGAGGAGAAGGAGGAGGACGGCGTTTACCGTTACTACTAATGCTGCTTTCCTAGGGGCTCCAACTCCTAGGTAGGGTCGCACTGGGGTAATTTTTACAAGAACGAGTAGTGATGCCCCCAGAAGCCTTCCAGACGGCCCAGGGAGTATACCCAAGATGTTTCCTAAGGCGTAAGCGCACAACACAAAGCACATGAGGCACTTCACGCAACACATGATACACACCACGCAACACACGGACACATACGGCAGGTTTGCGTCGTGCCGACCAGCGGCGACCCCATCGCGTGCGTTCAAGGTTGAATGCCGCCCGTGGCCCAGAATCGGCCCGTCGTTGAACGATCCGGCGTTCACGGAGAGTCCGATTGTTCAAGTTTGAACGATCCCCGCGGTGTCAGGAACCAACGCCAGGGTCGACACGACGCGTTCCTGCCGTACACATACACACATACCCATCGGTCGTTGAAAGTAGGTATTTTTGGAGTCCCAGATTCCAATCTACTCTAAGCGCCTTCCTGCTTCAAGGGTCGAGCGGCTTCACCTTTTCCGTCCTCCCAATGGGGCGGACGGAACCCAATCTATTTTCAACGCCTTCCTACTTCATGTTTCTACCTACCTCTCCCGACCGATGGGTACACACATTGCGTGGGTGCTTCTTGGCGTGGGGAGGGGGAGGAGGGGGAGGGGGAGGAGGAGGAGGAGGAGGAGGAGGAGGAGGAGGAGGAGGAGGGGGAAGGAGGAGGAGGAGGGAGGAGGAGGAGGAGGAGGAGGAGGAGGAGGAAGAGGAGGAGGAGGAGGAGGACCCCCCCCCCCCGGATAGGCCTCACCCCCGTCGGATCTCCCCGAGGCCTGCCGGCACGCGGCCCCTTGGCAGCACACAGCACACACACACACGCACGCACGCTGCCGCACGCGGGCGCACCACATCACACATACACACACACACGCACGCACGCGCGCGCAGCACGCCAGGCGCAGCACCCGATCGAGGCAACCGCAGGCAGCCAGACACACATTTTTTGGTCGGCGGGTCGAGCGCGGGCCTCTTCCGGTTAAGAGCCAGGCGGGGCGCGCGAAGCACTGATTGGGGAGACAGGGCGCGGGCGGGGCCTCAGGCGGCCGGAGGGTGTGGAGTACAGGCGGTGCCGAAGAGCTTGCACAGGAAAAGGTACGCCTTGGACAGGAGCCGGGGGCGAAGTCCCGGAGGGGGAGCGAAGTGGCAGCTAGACACACGCACAGGCTACTGATATTCAAGTCAGGCGTGTCCCTCCACGGGAGGAAGATTCAAACAACTAGTCAGGGGACGATTTTTTTTGGGGGGGGGGATTATTTTGGACCATCTTTTTATTTTCCGTCCAGGATCCGCCTGTAGGAGGACACGCCCGACCTAATACTGATGGCAACCACCTAGGTGTTCGTGGGAAGCCATGCGACGGCACCCCGTGTGCACCCATTTCGCTCTGAGTGCAGATCCCTGTGCGCGCACGCCAGTCCAGGGAATCGGCGCTTCCCGTTCTTATCTGGCCAGATCTCCTTCAAAATGGCAGCTTCGCTCGAGACGTCCTAAAGAACTGACATGTTGAAGTAGTTGGTCTAAGACGTCTTTTGTTAAGCATGAGGCTCTCGCTCGAGACATTCTCAAACAGTGGAGATGTTGAGATCGTTCGCGAAATCTTCGCAGACTCAGAAAT